GCCCGTTATGCAAATTATCCCATGTTTCCCACTATTGTTGATGCCCTGTCAAGTGATTCCTTAATGTTTTTAAAAACCCAATATTGACTTTTTACAAATTTTAAGTTTAAATTAAAATTAAATTAAGATGTCCTTGTGGTTCATTGTGGTTTCATTGTGGTTCATTGTGGTTCATTGTGGTTCATTGTGGTTAAAAGACATACCCGGATTAAGTCTATAAAAAATATTTTGACATCCAAATTGGCCAAGGTTTCGATATTATAATCGGTAAATGTTAAAAAAATATGATCATTCAGTCCTTTTTGAAGATATGAGCTACACACTTGTAACCAACTGGAAATTTACATCCTTGTTAGAAGATGAAATTATAACAAAACTTGTTTTCAAAATGAATATATTTTGAATGTTTTTATGTAGCCTGCAATCAAGGCGTAGCAAATATTTTGTTTCAAAGTGTATTCCTAGAAAAGCTGTTACATGTATAAGGTATTACATGAAATATGATTGGAAACTTCAATAGAATTTAAATTGGTATGATACTTTATGCATTTGATTGAACTTTCTCTGTCTGAAAAAGGAAACCTATGAGTATACTGTACAATGGATACATGTAACCATAATGATTGACAGATCTTCTTGAAAATCAGCAAAACATTTTTTGATATTAACAAACTGGAGTAAAAAAAATCAAATTGAAAAACCAGAGCAAAAATAACCATATTTTAGAAAGGAAGGAAGGAAGCATTTTTTTTTTATTCAAAAGACAACAAACATCTTTATTGTGCATCTTTCTCATACACTTTGTATAATTTATAGCTTAAAAATACCCCCTTCTCTCAATCTTCTCATTAAGAAATTATTTTCTTTGAAAATTTTCTTGCAACTTGTATACATCTATTCATATGTTGATTCTTTATTTTCAATTACTGTTGCTTTGTATTGGACTTGTGTCCATTTTATGCATATTGTTATTTGTAAGGAATGCAGCATTAAAATAAATTATTTTAAAACAATTTCCTGATCCATTTCCTTTTCTGAGAATTTTTTGTATAACAAAAACGCACATTGACAATCTGACATTTCATCAATTGAATGACTGTTTAGGAAATAATCATTACATTTAATATGATAGTATGGCATTGATGCATTGCCTGTGTTTCAATCATACTTAATCAAGATTAAGTTTGAATGCGCCGTATTAGAATTCATTGGATTTGTAGAGACTAGAGAGTTGACTATTTACATTTGTAGAGGTTTGGTTATTATAAGTACAAAATATTAATCTGAATCTGCTATTTTCTGAGTGTGACAGTAGCATATATCTTGCATGTTTAATAGCTCAATCAGTCATTGAGTTCATTCATAAGTCATGAAAACCAGTTTTCCAAGCCAGCTATAGTGTCATCCGATATAGTCTCAATGTTTTGTAATGATCTGTATGGGTATGTTCCCAGTCAAAGCATGGGAGAGGGTGTGTTAATGCTATATGGACATTTAAATCTGGTACCTGTAGTTGACCATCACCAGTAATACATATACAGGGTAGGTCTGCCGGTGCTTGACACTGATCGAGTGATCGAGGCCTCCAAATAAACAGAGGCATGTCATTATATACCCCATTCTAGCCATGATCCCATTTGTACGTATGATATATACCAGGGTATATTTATAGAAGTCTTATTGGAATGTGGGGACACTAAATGACTATTTACAAATTGCTTGCTGACTTAATTTACAGGGAGTTAATTGTTGTTTTTCTATTCAATGTGAAGTCAGATTTCAAGTGCATCTGTTGCACAGATTTTTTTAAAGGCTGTAAGGTGTGCATGCAGATTTCGATATTTTAATTAACTATAATGTTGGAAGGCATGAACTGGAATATTTTGTGTTCATATTTTGAAAAGCATTGCCAATTATATTACTGTTCATTGTAGTAAACATTTGGAATGTTTTAAATATTTGGTTAGGTCATTCAACCTTTAATAACAAATTTACTACAGATTTCCACACCCACATTGTCAACATGGTCAACATTTTCATTCACTGGAAACTTCTGTATTGTGGTAGCCCATAATATTATGTATTATTTAGTTTTCTCTGCTATTTTTGAGTACGCAGATGTTATGATTCATTTAACACAATAAGCTGCAATTAGGGCTGGGTATTGGCCAGAGATTTCGTATTGCGATATATTGCGATATTTTTAACTGTATTGCAATATGTATTGCAGTATTTTCAATGTAATGAAAATGTCATTTTCTTACTATATTTACATTAATTTACATGCAGAATTTACATAACTATGATAAGTAACTAACACGAAGAAAAAAAAATCTTGTTGATTTCATTTAAGTTATGCTCTTAAATGTTCCCACAAAACAACTTCTGTCTTACTGTTTGTCTTAATAACAAACTTTCATAAGTCTTTTTTTTTTTAAATATTTAATCATTTTATTGACAAAATTCCTTAATCTAAGTATATTGCCAATATATCGATATTACAAAATCGTATTGCGATACAATATTTTTTGTCTTTGTATTGCAATATATTGAAATATCGATATTATTGCCCAGCCCTAGCTGCAATAGTGATTTAAAAATTTATACTGAAGCTATACATTATAGTACATGTAGCAACTGTACATGTAGGCATATGGTATCATTGAAACCTTAAAACATGCCTACGCAAACACTAGTCAGTGGTTGGTCTGCATACCATAAAGATATGATATACAAATAAAGGTATATATACCTCTGTGATAAAGTTGAATGGAAAATAGAAATTTTGATATGAATGTAAATCAAATAGATACAGTCATACCGTAAATTTTTGACCTAAATTTTTTTCTCCCATGGTAATTTTGTGGTCATGGTTTCTTGATTTCATTGTTGAATTTTCATGACATGGACATTAAAGTCTGTTTATGGGATGAAGGATTAGAAACATGAAGTTCTAATCTTTGTAAAAGGAAGTACAAGTGACAAATTTTTTTTTTCTCCCAAAAGAGTTTTTAAGCTGCTTAAGGAGCTGTGTAATTAAAACACTGGAGTAATTTGCGAATGCACCGTAAGTAATGAATGAGCTTATTTGGGCCATATTCTTCCAGCTATTTATGTGGAGTAGAAATTTTTGTTGAATTTGGAAACTTGATACTGAATTTATACATGATCTCTTCTCTGAGTGTGATTCCATGCGTGATAGAGAACGACTGAGAAACCTTAATTTTTTTAAGTAAAGAATGTAGGGAATGAAATTTCAGCCAGCAAATGAAAAGGTAATGAAGGATAATTTTACTTCAGGATGGTCAGGTATTTGTATTATTCTGCACCCACCCTATTTATACAGGTTAAAATGGCACAACTAATCTAAGGCCTGGAAGCACTATAAAACAAAAATTTGAAAAAAATATGATTGATAGTTAAAACTTAAATACATGGTCACATTTGCTTGATAATACTAGTAATCTATGCAGTACGTGCCACACACATGGTCATAGTTCATTCGCATTACTGTGCATCCCCATGATCTGCATGCAAAAGAGTTGAAGAGGATGTAGGTATATGATAGGTGACTTGCAGTGTATACAGTTTTTGGCAGGATTCTATCTCTTCTAATCTAACTGTCTTAATTAATTGATGTCTACGTTTAACCTCCACCCATTTACTGCAGGAAATGTATATCTTCATCTTTAAAGTTCAAGGGCAATATTGCATGTGAGGAGCAATAAATTTTACAATATATTTTTTGTATCTCCAGTTCTTTGCCAGGTTTCCGTGTCTGATTTAAGTGTCTTTCATTTCATTTTTCCATTGAGCACTGTTGAGGATATATGTACATATAAATCTTGGTGGACAAAAACCGGTTCATATGTATACTTGTTTATGTATTAAAAGCTTGGTATATTAAGATGTCATGTAATTTTTCAAAAGGTCGCAGATCCATCATGCAGGATTCTATTCAGGATTTAAAAAACTCTTATGACAATTTACTCAGTTAACCTGACAAATAGAGAGAATTTTAATAAGCAAGAATCTAACTGATAGAGAAAACAAGAACCCCTGTAACATACTGATCTCTATTCCATATAGGTATTAAGGTATATATTGAGTTGTATATTGTTTAATTAACATCCCTCTCGAGAATATTTCACTCATTATGGAGACGCCACCACTTGCCAGTGGAGAGCTACAAATTTTGTCCTATACTCGGCACTCAGGGCCATTGAGCAGTGAAGAATCAGCTTTTCATGCCAGCACCTACTGCGACATAGGACTTTAGTTTATACGCCTAACAGTCTCATCCGAAGGACCGGTCCGTACTATAAGTATAGTCAACAATACCCGCCACTGGTTAAAAGTCAGAAATTTTCAAAAAGTACCATACAAAAAAGTTCGTGCTTTCAACCAAGGATAAATCTGAAAGATTGTCTATTGTTTACTCAGTCAAGTTTTATATGTAATGATGGTTTAAGAAGAGGAATAGCTTGTTCTCTCTGGTGAGCCTCAATTGTTTTTAAATTATCAAAGCTACAAACATCTGATTTGTGTTTGTTTACATTGTTATCGTGGGTTTGAGAACCTTTTAGGGTGGAGTACATAGACAAATGGCTAATCTATAGACTGCTGCGATCTCGATGGGTTTGATTAAGACATTGCATTGATACTATTTATACTGCAGATATATTGTTACACAGAGGCATATTTGTAAAGTTGATCAAGAGTATGTTTTTGCCAGTGGCAGTGGTATAAACAGTAAAACTTCCTTTTTGCTATTTTTGCTTGGATCCATAGGCTTCTATGCATGATTATTGATATTATCTAAATTATGAAATATACCATCTTTTCCCCCACATCATAACCACAAGCAATACATCAAGCTAAGCAGTCAATATTGATCGTTGTAAAATTCGTTGTTTATAAAACTGGCAACAATTGGTCAAAACGACTCGGTGATTGATTAAAACACAAAGTGGTAAAGATTTGTAAAGATTGTAAAGACTTCACTTTAAAAGCATTACACAATAGTTTTGTGCATATGCGGATGAAATGTTGTCCATTGTTCTATAATGACGGTACAAGACTGTGTGTGTGTGTGTTATTTATTCATGATGTGGTCCTGTCCACTATTTGTGTATTTCTGCTGGAGAACCCTTTGATTCTATTTCTGTACCTCCGATTACAAGACTGACAATGAGAAATTGTGTGGTTTGTATTTGTAGAGAAGTTTTAGAATAACACAAAAAATAACTATAAGTAGATGTGTCCATTCATCTATTTTTGTGTGCTAGCTATTGGATAAGTGAATATAAGGTTAATTACTAGTTTTTTATTGTTAACAGGTGATCACTAATGAGATTTTTTTCATAAATTTAATTTCATTCGAGGGAAATGTCCATTAAATTGAATGGACCATCTGCCATCATTTGACATTTCATATTATCATAATTTCGTGTTAAATGTGTTTACATTTGTTACATGTATATTGAAAGTTGTGTATATTGTTAAACTGAATGATGCTCTTAAGTGTTTTTAATTCCACAAGTACGTATAAATGCACTTTAATTAAAGTGTATTACATTTTGTATTGCCAAACAAAACAGTAATGTAAGAAGTTGACTTAGTCACTGGCCACCAAAAGGCATTAAAAGGAATTGCATCCCAAGAATAGGAAGATCTGATAAATGTTTGAAATAAAAAAAAAAAACATCACTTGAATGCAATTAACGAGATTCCCATTACCCTCGTTATCATTTCCTGCAATTACAAAAATGATTCATTGTGTTTTGTAGAACTGCGTTGCTGCATTGTTTGGATGAGCTGATATACCCACAGTGTTGTGGAGATGTCTTTGAATGAGGACTTAGTACAACCTACTAATGATAGTTTCTGGGAGATCGGCAAATACCACCGCACTGTCAAACGTATAGACAATGGTAAAGCCCTTTGTGACAGTCTTAGACAGCTGATCAAAGAGAGGAGTGAAATCGAAACATCTTACGCCAAAAACCTCACAAATTGGTCCAGAAAGTGGAATGATTTTCTTGACAAAGGTATTATTTATTTTTAAACTTTTAGCTCACCTGAGTTTTTATGATCATGGCGAGTGTCTGTTTGTCTGCTGTGTGATGTCTATAAGCTTTTCACATTTTCATCTTCTCAAAAGTCACTGGGTCACATTCAATGACTGTATAGTATAATAGTAAGATGCAAGTTTGTTCAAATGAAAAGCCACTCTATCATGGGTATAATATGATGAGGAAATACAGTTATTAATAAGACTTGTCTATAACTCTATTTCAAATTAAAACAACTGAATTTACTGCATTTGGAAAAGTTTACATTGTATTAGACAAAATTTTGGATTATCACCCTGAAGGAGGGGGCCAGGATTCTTTATCATATTCATGAAATTTGATATATATGAATATGATGTTTAATAAAGATATTGACAGTCACATGTGTGAAGGAAAAATGAGATAAAAAAGAATTTTGAAGAACAGCACGACCTAACTACGGTAAAACAAATTCATAAGTTAACATGCCTAAGTTGTGTGGATACAAGTTCTTTTTCCCCCTCAAATTATGGACTGTCGTGTTAGATTGGGACTGAAAGTTATCTTGCATGCACTAATGCATGCACACAAAATTCAATTTTTTCAATACGATACAATTTAAGAAAATTCATAAGGTTAAAAAAAATCTTCAAAAAAAAGAGTAAAAGGTTGATACAATAGAAATATACTTATGCAATTAAAAATCAGCATGGCTAAAAAGTTATAGCTCAAATATAGTTAAAATAAAACTAATGTTGAAAAAAAAATTAATCATTGAAAAAGTCAGGGTACTAAGGTCATTCTTTTGACAATTAAAATTTCATTCTCACTATTAAAATTAAATCATATAGAATTAATGATTATGACAGAAAATAAAAATGAATTTAAAAAAAATTATCACTTTTCTTTTCTGATGCACTAACTCATTTAGATGAAAATAAATTCATTTTGTTTGTGTTCACACTATCTTTCAGAATCAGTTTAGTGGCAATAAACGATGGTGCCACAACAAAATAGAAAATTAGGAGATTTTTCAATGTGGCTGATAAAAAAAATTAAAATACCGGTTGTACCTTTCATGTATTACATGTAAAATTTTTACATTTACTAATTTGTTAATTGCACATCTCTGAAGGTGTCTTTATTCTATAAATAATAGCAGTGAGCATTGGTGTGTGTCAAACTGTTAAAATGGGCCTCTTTTCAAAGAGTTAACCAAACCCGATTAAAAAAAACGTATTTGAATCGAACATTGTTGCCATATCGTGGTGAATCGTTTCAGCCCTACCAAATTAGCATCCAGGATAAGTCTGCTTGTGTGGACCAGCCACAACATAAGAATTTTTCAACATAAACAGTAAAAGACAATAACTCATTTACAAGTAATTAGTGTTTTTTAATTTATTTGATGAGAAAAAGAACTCATTCTAACTAAGAAATTGATACATTTGTAATAGGAAAATGAAAGTTACACCTTACCAACAAATGTACCATAATCTTATGTTTAGAACTGTTAGATGATTTTCTTCCTTCCTAAGCATTAATGCCAGGACAGCTCTTAATTTCCTCCTGATTTAATCGGTATGCTTGGGATACTCTGTGAATATTGTTCATTAGGCTGACCATCCTTCCTGATTTACACCTAATTGTCTTTTCCATAGGTAATGAGTATGGGACGATACAGGCGGGCTGGAGAGGACTACTACAGGAGGCCGATAGTCTAGCCGATTTACACAATGTAGTGTCCGAGAACTTAATAACTAAAGACTATGCCAGCATTAAAATGTGGCAGAAAGAAAACTATCACAAGTCCATGATGCATTTTAAAGAAACTAAAGAGCTCGAGGAAGGGTTTAAAAAAGTAAGGGTTTTTTTTCATTTCACTTTGTGTGAAATGTAATGATTATGAAAGGTTTGTAAAAAACGAGTTAAAATGATAACATGCTAGCTAGCTGAGGGAAATAATTTTTTTCTGATTTGTTTTACTTCATGATGCAGATTGAATCTTTTATGGCTTTAATTAAAAGATATGCAGTGTTGGAAACTCAAGAATTTCTTTCTGTTACACTACATTCGATGAGCATTAACTGTGAGAAATCTTATGGGTGCTAACAATGAATGATGTGAAAATAAAGAAGTATTGAACAGGCACTTATATGTTGTTTGACCAGCTACTTGTAGTGAAATCAAAATTGTTCATACATTGTAAAATGTTCTTTACATGAATTTAAGTCATTTGCAGCATATGCATGTAATGTAAAATGTATAGAATGAAAGTGAAATGCAAAGAAAATAAATGTAAGGGAATTTATTTTTTAGGCACAGAAACCATGGGAAAAGAAATACACAAAAGTAATGCAGTCCAGGAAAGACTATCATGCAGCATGTCGAGCAGAGAAGAGCACAGCTAATCAAGAAAATAATGCTAGGGGGGATTCAGCAGTGTCCCCTGATCAGGTACAATACATGTGTGTGTGAAAATGCTGGCACTGAAATTCAGAGAATGGGGTGGAGGGATTGGAATTTTTGTTATTTACAATTTCAATTGTTTTAAGAATACAGTTTAATCCATTGTAAATCTAATTAAAATTAAGTGTTAGATCTCTCGCATGGACGCACTAACAGCATCCCATAGAGGGTCACATCAGAGGTCAAATTCGGAACAACTCTAGACTTACTTGTGTCAACAAATATACTATAATTTTGCAGGCAACGATTTGATTGGTTGAAGAATTTGACCTCTGACATGACCCTGTATGGGATGTTGCTAGATGTTAGTGTAGCCAGTATGGGAGGGGATCTAACATCTAATTTTAATTCGATTGATTCATTGTCTAGTATGATAAAAGGCCTCAGTATGATTAAAATTCTCAAAAATTTGTCTCATACATTGCAGACGTCTGAGATTGGTGCAAATGAGACAAAGGTGTGAGTTCAATTGTGTTGATTGCCTCCAAGGGGCAAACAACTGTGTTATTCCTAATATCCTTGTTTTAACATACTGTAGATCAATTTTTGCGACACTTTATTTTCGCAAGGTACACTTTAGCCTTAGGTATAGAATATTCGAAACAAAATTTTCACAAATACTGGTTATTGCTCTAATACGTCATGTTCGTTTTTTCTATGCTTATTACACAATATCTTTAAAAAAAATTCTATATTTATTGCAAATACACTATATATAAGTTCTTTACATCTTAAGCATGCATAAAGTTCTTTATATATATTATGATGATGTTCATTTTATTTTTTATTTTTTTGCCAGCATTGTTGTCATTGCACAATTATTATTTACATGCATCATTAGAGACCTGTTGAATCTGAACTTATAATAAGTGTCTTTGAAATGTTTTGTAAAGAGAATGTATCCCTTTACATTTTTATTACAATTTTATCAATTCATTTGGCAATCATTTAAACCATTGTATATATTACAGAGAAATGCTTCAATCTCTAAGTTGTTACAATGTGTAACCAATCCCTTTATATTAATTATGCAATAAAATAAATTCAAAACAAATTAATTGGGAGTGAAATATTTGGGAGGTGATCTTATGATAGAATGTTCCATTGTAAAAATGATATTGTCCTACGGACCCTGTTTAGATGAGGGCTTTTTTTTGAGATTCGGTTTGATTAATCTAACTAAGGTGACATTTTTGGCAGAATTAAGCGCAAATAAAAGTGCGAATAAAAAGTGATTTACAGTATTATCTATAAATCTTGAATGAAGAAATGTTATTTTGTGTATTTATTATGGATGCAGCAAAAGTTTTTCTTTCAGAATATTGTTTGTTTTCTGGAAATATGATATACCAGTGTTTGCATGCATGCATTTGTTTTCTAAATTTTTTTTCACATGAAGTATTTTGCATTTGTGACTACTCGTACTTATCTGTTTTTTAAAAAAAATTGCAGTGACAAAATTTTTTTTTGATTTAAAGCATGCGAACATGGTCTTTGTTGAAATTATATTTTAAAAATTCTAAGTTAATTGAATTGAACTGAATTTCTAGTGTTGAATTTTCATGCTAAAATCGATTTTTCAGGAAAGTAATTGATAATAATACTCTTCCTCAATTTTGCAGTTGAAGAAAATCCAGGAAAAGTTACGGAAATGTCAGCAGGACGTGGAAGCTACCAGAGACAAATATGAAGCCTCGCTGAACGACCTCAATAGTTATAATGCTAAATATATTGAAGATATGAACGAGGTAATTTAATATTAAATACAAACCCTCGCTAAACAACTTCAATAGTTATCATGCTAAATGTATTGAAGATTTGAATGAGGTAATTTATTGTCCAGGAAAAAACGTCTAGTGTTACTCTGATGATAAAGGTTAAAAATAATTGTGTTTCATAAAGAGACAAATGAAAACAAATCTTCTTACTGTTTGTGAACTATTAATATCAGATCTTTGTGTAAGCAAATTTCTAAGAATTAGATGATTAAGTAAATCAACTTAACAGATTCTTGTAACTCTACTTCAGGTACGTCAAAATACTGAATTTTTTCTCCCATTTATTTTAGGTGTTCCAAAAATGCCAAGACTTTGAGAAAAGTAGAATAGAATTCTTTAAGAAGACAATGTTTGAGATCCATCAACATCTTGATCTGTCTGTTGAACCAAAGTAAGTGACATAATTAAGCTACAAGCTCATTCTGATGCTTAGTCAAAGGTTCAGCTTACAATTTTTGAGGGTACCTCATTGACAGTTTTGAAGGATTTTCTGTTGACTCTTTGTGATTGTTAATACTGTATAAGCAGAATTTTTAGCGAGGAATTAATTTTGGCATTATTAGTGACGGTGCCAAGATCACTAAAATTGAATATCTTTAAAAATATTAATTAGGGCCCCGCAAGGATTTGCGGGTGCCCTATAGTAATCACTCTGTCCGTCCGTCCGTCCGTCTGTCTGTCTGTCTGTCCGTCTGTCACTCTTCCGTCCACAAATTTTCTGTTTTTTTCTTAACTTGTTTTAAGGTTGCCCAATCAGGTTCAAATTTGGTATGGTAGTTCAGTGGGCAGAAATACATATTTTGATGCTAAGTTTGGTTCTCTGTGTCTTCTGGTTTGGAGCTGGGGTGGTGGGGTAGATTCCTTACTATGCAAAAGAATGAATGGGCAAAGAGAGATAACTGCTGAGAATGTTACCATTGTAAACTGGGAAGGCTGTGCAATTTGTCCTTTGGGATTAATTAACCTTCCACATGAAGAAAATCCTAAGCATTATCTTTATCTGTCGAATTGAGATTAATTACTCTACCAGCCTCTGTCTTCAATGAACTTTGTTTTGAAGTTAAGGTCAATTTTGAATGATGTGTACATTCTGTGAAATATGGATTTAAAATAATGTTCATACTTTATATTGGTTAAAATACTGTACACATATTTAACATAATTTTATTGAATCCTAAAATCAAGATATATATTTTATCCTTTTTTATTATTACTACTTTATTTTTTAATTATTTATTTAATTTAAATTTGTTTTGCTGCCTTAATGCTGTTAATTTTAACAGGTAATCAGATAATAACCCCATTCTGTCAGTGCTGAAAAAAGTTCTTATTGTAAATTTATATAGAAGAAAAGGATGGGAGAGCAATACAATTAATCCCCTGGGATTAATTATCTTGCTTGCTGCAGAAAATTTAGAGGCTTATCTTTATCTGTCACATGAAGATTAATGAACACCTTTGTCTGTAACTGATGTTTGTTTTGAAGTTGAGGTCAACCCTGGGTGATATTTGCATTCACTGAAGGCTTGCATTTTATAAAACACCTGCTTAAATCTTTTTTAAATACACATTAAATTTAGTTTTTTTTTTTAATAAGACATGAGGTTTTCCCTATTTTCTGTTAATACAAGGTTACTATTTACAGGTTTTTGGACATTCAGGAATTATCTTGAAATTTTAAAAATGCAGTTGTTACTTATAATCTTCATATATTTAAAAAAATGTAATCAAGTAAAACTCTCATTCAATGAGGTTCACCCTTATATTTCTACCCCTCAGCGGGGCCCTTGCTGACTGGTCAGTTTTCTAGTTGCACTTTATTTGTAAAAGCTTCTTTAGTGAGCTTGTTAAAATCGCTAAAATTACATCTAGGTAAAAATAAAAAATACCTATTTTTAAGAACAAATCACAAAATTTGCTTTTTGCTAAAATTTCCACTTATACGGTATGACGTGGATAAATTTTGAGACCGTTATTCTGATGTGTATGATTACTGAAATAGTTTTTATGATGTGTATATAATTGTGGAGATTGGTAGGATGTTTTCAAGTCTGACATGGTTTGTTATAGGTTCTCACAAGTGTACAGTAACCTTCACAGTACTATAGGACAGATAGACCCTGACAAAGATCTGAGATGGTGGTCAACAAATCATGGAGCTGACATGCCCATGAACTGGCCAACATTTGAGGTTTGTTTCTAGACACAATGTAGAATTTGAAAAGCAAAAACATTTTAATAGGCTAATTGTATTTGGCGCGTCGGCGCGCCAGCGCGTCCATCTCATCCAAATATCACACAAGTATTTTCTCCCTGCATTAAAACACTCAAATGACAGTGATTTTATTTATAATTTAAGCATTATCGGCTATATTCAAGTCGACACCCCAAGCCCGATTGTATTTTTTTGGTTAGGTGGATCCAGAAAATTTTCTTTAGGAGGTGGTGGCTCAAATCGGAAGGGTAAAAGGATTTAATACATAGCTTTAGTAATTTTACTATGTCAATTTAAAAAAAAAAAGAATTTTCCAGGGATGCGGATCCCCTTTGATCCATGCATGTCTAACCACGATTTTTGTGCAGGCAGTAATCCGAAATTTACTGCCTTTTTTTTAGTTGACCTATTCTCTCTGTTCTCTCTCTCTCTATATACATATTATATATTAATAGTTATATCTCCAAACTTTAACTATAGCATTAAAAAACATTTAGTGCTTTTGTTTTTATAAATCAACTTTATGCATAACACATAGGCATCGGGGGGGGGGGGGGGGGGGGGGGGGGGGGGGGGGGGGGGGGGGGGGGCTTATAAAGATGGACATCATATAGGTATTCAACATTGGGGCGTAGGTTTATTTAGTCCCCCCCTCCCCCAACTCTCATCAGGCAAGGCAGTGTAGTCCTAGAAGAAGGGTAAATGGTAGCGTAAGTGGTAATGTTTGAAAGAAAAAAATTGGTACTGAAAGAAGTTCGCCCCCCCCCCCCCCTCACGAAATAGGATTTTCTTGTTTGGACTATAGACACATTTTACGTTTGGGGGGGGGGGGTTGCTTGCTAAGATTTTATATGTTCGAAAAAATTTTTTTTTTCTTTCACTTAACCCCCCCCCCTTTCAATTTGCTTCCGACGCCAATGTAACAAATTAGAATTACCAGTATTACATTATGACCCTATACTCTAGAGTTTAACCTCCTTTTAAAGACTTGATTTTCATGGCAATAAGCTACCATACATTGGTATAAGTGTTTGAACAAGATGCCTTGTTACTTTTAAAAATACTACTAAAGATTAACTTGTCTTTGTAAGAGGATGGGGAGTAACTTTAGTTACAGAAATGGTTTTGCTATTAATAGCCCTTTTAAACAAACTTTAGGTCAGAACAATACTTTAAAATTTATTAAAAATAATAGAACAGAGGAAAAGTCTTACTTTTTTGGCAAATCATTCTAAGGTTATAGTGATCAAAACAACCTTTGTTACCTTTTTGACTCTGTAGAATCTTTTTTCATTTAATTCTCACATCTTTCTTACGAAGCGTAAATGAACATAATTTGAAAAAGTTGTGAACAAAGTATCAAACATTAAATTTTAATATTTACATTTGCAAATGTTTTCCTTTATATAACACTACTGAAGGCAAGCGTTTTTATAACTGTGAAAATACAGGTATGGGGTCATAGATGGGCGTTTGGATAAACGTTCGACGTAATTTCTCTGTGACGTCATAAAGGTTCGACACGCGTTTAGTGGATTACATACATGCCGTTGGGTTTGAAAAATTAACGCATTTCACACGTTAAAAGTAACAATCAGGCAAATATAAAGTATGAATAAGTCACAAATGTAAATATAAGTAATAAGGTATCATTTTTTGAGTTTTATTGAGATGTAAAACGGGTTGACACATGATCAAATCTTCCATAAAGCCCTTCGGGCTTTATGGGATTTGATCACGTGACCAACCCGTTTTACATCTCAATAAAACTCAAAAAATGATACCTTATTTCTTAATTGAAAATCGTCAAAATCAACTCCTATCGGTACTTTCCGTACTTTGATTAGTATAGGAATATCGAGTGAAATATCGAGCCCGATGCTGACAAATAATAGTATAAGCGATAAATTTTATATACAAAATCTGTTGCGCGAGCGCGCCGACGCACCGAATACAATTAGCCTTTTAATACTTCTTGTATCTAGTGCTCTATGATAGTGGGGTCATCCAATCAAAGATTTAATAACTTAAAAGGTACCTGAAGTCTGTAAATGTGAAGTAAATCATACATATAAAAGGAACATTGAAGAATTAATCAGTTAAATATTTTGCTTTACAGGAATATTCCCCAGAGCTACAAAACATTTCCAAGAAGAAGGACTCGCAGCTGGGTGGAAATGATGGCATTACAATCACCAGTATTCGTCACAAGCCCGACGCGTTTGTTCAGCAGTCAGACTCCTTTAATTCTCATCAGAGACAGACGTCTACAGAGTCGCCCAGGTCCTCCTCAGGTTCTAACGTAGTACAACAACAGCAGCAGCAGACTCAACAGTCCTCATCACTCCGGTAGGTCAAGGGTTTATATTACTGTGTTTGCATAGGGTGAATAGTTGATGAAACTTGAGCATTAGTACTTGAGAATTCTGAGTGTAGTTTTCAGAACATTTTGTAGAGTGTTCAGATTTTGTTTCTTAACTGTATATTCCTTGGAAGAAATTTTTACAAAATACTTTCAAGTGAAGTTTGATAGGAGGTATTGACTAACAGAGCGATTTGCCACTTTCACCAAAAACATTTCAATTTGGTTTGATCAGACAAAATTTGTTCTGTTTAGGGGGAGGTTTTTCTTTAAAATGAAATCAGAGAAAATTAAACATCATTTTGAGTATAAAACTTTTAGAATCATGCTTTAAAGTAAATCAAGTATATAGTGATTTTGGGATCAAAAGTTAAGAATGTTAGGAAAAAAGAGGGAATTAGTGTGATTAACATGGCAGTGTCTCTCTTGACATGGACAACCTTGACCTTTTCACCTTAGTATCCAGTCACCTTTGACCTCAGTCTGGGGAATGATAGCCTTTACTGTAAGAACTCTTCATCACAATTTTACCAGGAAAATTTCATTTGATGGCTTCTCCTTAAAAAAGAAGGAAAAAGATAAGGCCTCCAAACGGAAAACCATGTTGGATCAAGCCAAACAACCCAATGTAGAGGAGGTCAAAAGAAATTCCGATCCGTCCCGAGTGCAGCAGCCCCCAGATTCTGCGAGGCTCGCTCAAATGAACACAGACGTCTCGCAGGCCGACATTGTGACACAACAGCCAGGGGGAGAGAACTACGTCAGGACGACATCATATGACGAGTCGCTCAATCCATTTGGCGATGACGACGATGACGGTGAAGCCAATGTAACGGCAGAATCTCATGTGTACCAGGCCATAGACGAGGCCCGAGGGGAACACAAGTAAAGATTACCTCTCTCTCTCTCGGAATGATGCATTGTGTTGCATTTGCTGTAGCTGTTGCAGTGAAAGCATCTTGTTGCATATCCCTCTTGGAATGATCTTCGCCTACCAGTAGCACCTTATGGAATGTTGCATCTAATATGCTATCTATTGCACCTTCTCTTGAAACCGACCTTTTAGCGACTACTATAGTAACCAAAATATTATAAACAACAGACAATGAAATTAGCACATTAATTATAACTCTAGATGTAGACTCCATTAATAGCTTGTTAAAAATATTTATAACCAACTAAAACCTACATTAACTGATAGCCTATATTTTCTTACACATGTAATTTCTCTTTTTATTTGCTCTTTTCTGTTCTGCTTGGAAGTGAAGCCTTGACTTCCATTATAGCTATTATGAGAAATGAAGATTTTGACCTATCAGTAAAGAAGAATGCAAAACCATGGCACAGATATACATATTTTTCCTGGACATCTCTTTTGTCTATATAAATCTTATGAAATATTTTCAGATTGCCTCTGCCATACTTACTTGCCTGCCCTCAGTTGACTTGCTACATGTGTCATTCTTATGATTTGCCAATTTCTATTTATTTGCAGGTCTTATACTAATTACACATATTTCAGGTTTGTTATAACCCTTTCTTCACATTCTGTTGTCAGGTGTTTAGTTTTATTCATTCCTAGGGCACAGAGGGTGTTTATCCCTCCCCTATCTACATTGTGTAAACTTTGTCATCTGATCAAGTGGTTTGTTTACATTCCGTAAAGTAACACCAGATTCTAAAGATTTCATAGGTGTTATTAAAATTTTTGCTTTTCCAATATATGTGTAACAATTTCACATATATTTTTTTTTTTCAAATTTTTAGAAAAAAAAATTATTTTTTGGTTTTTTGTAACAAATTCATATAGATTAATTGTAAAATTTTATGTCAGCTTGTGCAGCTACTGGTAAAAAGTTCTTTCTTAATTATTTTGATTTCCAAATGTTTAATTAAATTGGTTGAAGCTATTTTTTTAATGCAGGCAAAATTTCAATTTTCACTTATCTACTAATTCTTTTTCTTTATAATATTAAATGAATTCCGACTAAAAAAAAATTTGCATGTCTGTATCCTCGTGAATAGATGTTGTATATGTGATATGTAATAGTAAATATGTTATTGAATGTATAGAATTAGCTCAGTCTAATCAAAATCAAACCTTTCAAATGATTTAACCTTTCTCATTGAAAATATTGGAACAATTATTTTTGACAGAGATCTAACTTCACTGCTAGAAAGTAAACTGAAAATTATGTATCATTGCTTGTACTTCTCAATGAAAGATTGAAGCTACAAGTTTTGTTATGCTCATCTGATGTCACACTATATCCCTATATAGTATTTTATTTATGTTGTATACTAATAAATCTCTTCTCTGTCTACAGTAAGGAGGTCGAGAAGAAGGAGGAGCCAGCGGTAGTGGAGGACACGAACCCCTTTGCTGATGATGTGGATGAACCCCCCTCCCCCTCCCCCGAGGACTCCCCCCGGCAGATGAACGGAAAGGAGGGTGTCCCTGTCAGGGCCCTGTACGATTATAACGTGACGGAGGAGGACGAATTAGAACTCAAGGCTGGTAAGTGTCTCGTTTGTTTCATGCCTATAAAATACAGCTAGAGAATACTGCTTTCCATATATACAGTGAAAGTTAAAAAAAAATCAAAAAAATTACACCATTTACATGTAGTTAGTATAAATATATAGATAAACCTTTTTTTTCCCAATATTAACGTAAAAGTAAAAGAACTAATGCATAATTCCTTCATTGCTGCAAGGGTTAAGTGCCCTGAAATGTATTCTGTTTCAACACTTGACATATAGATGATGTAACATCTACTTTTAGGCATGTACATCAGACATTTATTGCCGGAAACTTTTAAAATTTTCCAAACCTACTATTGGATTAAATTTAGATAAAAGTTAATTTCAAATTCATGTCTTCAAGGATTTTTTCCTTACAATTTCTAACATTATAAAACTGACAAACCAAAATGAATACTATTTATTTTAATGAAGGTAAAAAGTAGAAATCTGAATTTGGTTCAGTGGTAGGTATTTCATCGGACTTCAGATGCTTTAATCACATGATGTTATTTCTACTCAACAGTACAATGTAAAGGCCATAACATCTTTTACATATATGAATGAAGTACAACAAATTGATTTGGCTGTAGCATGTTAATTTATTCTTTCATTAGCCAGGATGTACAACAATTTAATTAGAATGTTTTTATTTTCTTTTCTTTCTTGGAAAAGGGAATTATACATCTTATTATACAAGATCAAATTTGATTTTGTGGTATATGGAACATATATGTACATGCCAATAATAAAGTTATACTCTTAGAAATTGTTAACCAGTAGACTATGTATTTATTATTACAATTTGTTAAGATTCTCTATCTTCTAAAAGTCATTGAATAATTTATTTGTTATTTCCCCAGAATAGAGGGAAAGTACATGGTTTATTAAAAAAAAAAAGAGAACACCTCTGTTTGTAGAAGCTATGAAATAAATTGTTTTGAATTTATCATGTTTTTTCTTCTTTGTAGGTGATGTCTTTGTTAAGTTATCTGAGGAGGACGAGCTAGGCTGGTGTAAAGGTTACAAGGACGGCCGAGAAGGATTGTACCCCGCTAATTACGTAGAACCTGTATAGATCTCACCAGAGCATCACTACATCCCACCAGCGTTTGGAACAGAGGACATATCCTACGTGCTGTTCAAACTCTCTAATAACCATGATCAAACGTTAAAATATTGGAAAGCATTGGAATGTGTCAGGGCGGCTACAGCGTGTTATTTACATATGTATAATGATATTACACTTGTTATCACTGTTACTTATGGTTATCAGTAATTGTTTGTGTATGGTTGTCTTTATATGGACGTTTAGGTTGTTTTCCATTTTACAGACAAAATATTTGTTATAATCAGAATCTTCTGTAGTTTTTTTTGTCAGTTCTCTGCATTGACACTGTTTTTTAGGCAGAATGTGTTAGGGGAAAAAACAGTGATGATATACAGAGAAGTGAGTTAACATGAAACCTTCCAGACAAAATGCTATAAACTACAAAATAGGCTTCGTGTGATATAGACTTTAATATATGTACATCCCTCTTGCCACCTTTTTTGTTAAATCAAAAAAAAAAAAATTCCATCTTTTAGCAGAGTAGGCTTTTTATGTTGCTGACTTCTTGACTTTCCTATAACTGAAACCACCCACTATGGTACTTGGAATGAAATTTTTTTTAGCATAGTTTTTAATCAGAATTTATGTTTACATTCTTGACATATCTTAAGAAAAATTTCAGTGTAAGTTTCACATGTAGAATTGTAGATATCTACCTCAGGTCAATATGTATGTTAAATTAGATTTCATCTTGGTCGCTTATCTCTTTTTCTCCAATTCTTAATTGTTGCTACGCATTCACTTTGTACATGTATGTATGGACTTCATGAACTCGTAAATCCATATTTAGGGTAGGTCACTCTCTTTAGTTTTTAAATAGCATTGTTTTGTTAATTGCATGAGCTTCCAGTTTGTGATCATGTCATTTTGTGATCTCTGTATTTTGCCATCTTTGCTTGATTGTACATTCCGCATTTATATTGTGATTCTAGGTTTTTAAATAAATAATAAGTGTCAGAAACACAGAAAATCTGCTCATTTTCCAAAAGCAATGTAAATATGATGTTAAAAATTTATACCTTTTTTTCATAGCTAGGTTTTGAAATTTTTAACATACTTTTGAACATTTCTTTACTTTTTTCCTTGTGTACATTTCTGATGCTAAGTAGCAGAAATTTTCTTAAATTATGTGTTTAACAAAATTCTTAAGTGTTAACTTCAATCATATTTTTTCTGATAAAATTATTTGTAGTTTTATTGCTGCTGAAGTATTTTTGTTCTGTCTTGTTACATCTTGGAATGTTATGTAATATATACATAGATATCTAGAGGTACACCAAAATGTTACCCAGCCCTCTTCTTATACAAATGTACTTGGAGACAGCAAAGCTAACAAATCTCTGATCAAATCATGTTCTAATGGATACTTTTATGTCAAGCTATGATCTTTTGTACAAAATGATGAAAATGGCAGAATATTATAATTCTTTTCATGTGCTGTCAAGTCCCTAAACATGTTTGTCTCTGATAATTTGGATTTTTGAGCGGATAGGATACCATGTGTTTTTGAGAGGTTCCATGTTAATTGATATATCCATTTTATGATAATATTTACATTATTATGTGCCAGTGCTAGATTTCATATATGCAATTATAGAATGTATAGTGTTCATATTACTGTGTTAGAATTGTACAATTAAAGCAGTGTCGCAGTTGTCTCCCTTTTGTGAGAAAACATTTTCTTGTTCACAAATTTTCTCAAAGTGCTGTTAGTTTATGGTGGCCAATTTTCTTTCCTAAAGCGCATATCCTCTTGCTGTACAGAATTTCAATAATTATTTCATCCTCTTATGCAATGGAATATAAAATTATGATTGTATATATTTTCAATTTGATCTGATTTTAATATGATTATAAAGGATTCAGACTGGATTCCCTCTGGTCTTGTCAGTTTAGTATAGAGATTTCTACCTTCAGTTGAGGAGAGTCTGTGTTCTGCTTTAATAGTACTGAAGAGTGTTTTTGTATATTACAAATATTATGAATTGTGTACAAGGTATACCCAATGTGTAGCTGGGAAAAACTGATAGTTATTTATTACTGAAAAAAAATATTGCAATAAATAAGATCTAACAGTTAGCAATGTGTTGATCTTTCAATGGAAAATATAATGAAGTATGAACACAAGAAATTTTTGAATAATAAGGTAATGAACAAGCCAGATTGGATAAATACATGGATCCAATACTTTTAATACTGCAACTTTTTATGTAACAAGGATGATAAAATACCTGAGCAATAACTTTCCCTTTATGGCACCAGCAAATCAAATGCTTACATTTATTTAGATTGCTACTGGGAAACAAAGAATTCTAATGTGCTAGCACTAGATTAGAAGGATACAGTCTCCTGCATAAATAGCCTGAGTATACTAATACTGGGTACAAGTTCATAATACATATATAAATGTTAGGAATAGCTATATAAATAAATAAATTTGTTTGGAGAATAGTTTTTTTTTCCAGATCAAGAAAAAGACAACTCAAATTAAAAAGATCTAAGATGTATAAAATGTCAAAATATAAAACTTTTGTGGCAATTCAGAGGTTAAATCCTCCTAGTCTTGGAGGATAATTTTGATTTGTTCATAATCTTGATGAGACCCATAAGTGGCAGGTAAAAGATTGAATTCCGAATCATACCAAGAACATTGGATACTTTGCTCTTGACCCAGAATGCACCAATCCACAACACTCTTTCTATGCCTGTCTTTGGATTTTTTATCAGCACCTCTCTCTAGCAAGAGCTGAACGGTTGACAGTTTTCCAAAATAAGCAGCACAGTGGAGTGGGGTTAATCCTTGGCCATTCAGGTCCCAAATTTGATTCTTTCCCCTTTTTGAGCTCAGAATCACCCTCACCACTTCAATATGCCCCCGCATACAGGCAAAATGAAGGGCATTGTTATTGGCCTTGTCAGTAGTTAACAAAAATTTTTCATCTGTTTCGACCAAACATTCCACAATGTTATGGAAGCCTCCACTTGCCGCATGATGAATACAGCAACGTTTAAAAACCGACTCATCTTGCACATGTTCCAAAATATTATTAGAACCCATTCGATCCAGTATTTGTTTCACAATTTCTTTGGATCCACCACGACATGCCCTGGATAGATCTCTGTGATTCAGGGAGATAGGTTGGCCATTTGATGTTAAAATTTCGAAAATTTTGTGGTTTCCTTTTAAGCATGCTTTCCTCACCCCTTCCTCTATAACGGTCTGTTCTTGGGATGTCACCAAGCTCCGAACCCTTTCAATATTGTTCGTCAGAATAGCATCAAGGAATGGAGATGAATCTACAAGATTTATTATTATTTTTTATCATATACACATTTCATAAAGTAATATTGCTAGTAAAGTTTGAGAGAGAGAATGACAGTTCCACCTAACATTAAGGAACCTAAGGAAATTACATGATATGGAAGCAAATATACACATGTAAACTTGTGACCTAAAACCAACAAACATAACTTACAGTGCGTTTTTCCAATTCTATTTTTTGAACATGACCAAGAATGCAAAGTAATCATTAAAAACGCTATCTTCTCAATTTAAAGGGATGTCAATGTTTATATTATAATAAAGTGAAGATTTATCGTTTTACGATGATGAGTTACTGGACTACTCTAAGGAAAAGCTAACCTCTTCATACCAAAATAAATGCAAGCAAATTAAAGGTATCAAAGGTTAAAAAAAATTAAGGCATTATGAAAATAAAATTATTTATGTAACGACAATGCCAGAGTTATCTCTCTTAGTTGTGGGTCGTTTGTCCTTAAGCCCATACCGTTTTCTTCAGCCGAATCATCGCTCCCGTCCACCAAGGACTCCTGTCTAGTAGTGTTCAGTTTCCCTTAATAAGATATTCACAATAAATAAATGTTCATTAAACCACTGTGGACATCGAAAGAGGAAAACGAAATTAAAAAGAAATGAATTTAATTACACTTCTTACATGTATGGATGACCCTGTCTAGGGACAATCTTTTGGCACACTGTGATGTTGCAAAATTGGGAGCATCAAGACGCAAGATCATGGAGAGAAAATCATTTTCATGGGGTGTGTCATGTACAAGTCTCCCCAAAATCTGTTTTTAATATAAATAAAAAAAAAATACCAAACTTTGCTTAAAATTTAAATATACAAAGTGTTGTCTAGTAGATAAAGGTTTGTACAGCGCCGAAGGGAGAGGTACTAGTATTTTGTTACAGCAAAAATTAAAATTACAGTAAAATTTTATTTAAATACTCCCCCCCCCCCGAACTCTTTGTTTGCAGGATCGAACATATATTTTCTTTATTTTATTCAGGAGAGTCTAACAAATCTAACAAAAAATAAATATCGGGTAAATATTAGCTATTAATTAAACTCAAGTTATCTACTTCTGTTGTCATCAGTTTAACTTTACATCCCCCCTTCCTTTTATCATTTATTATTTGTTACAAACCTCTTTAAGTCTGGGATATATATCATCAAACTTATCCTTCGTTATTTTATTAGACGATGGCAGGTGATGACAATCATTTCTGATGTCGCCAATTCGAATGACGTCTGCTCCAATGCTTTTATCTTCTGCCTTTAGTTTATCTCTCCTCCAACCATTTTCTGGCGGGAAAACGGTGCTTATATTCTTGACCAAAACACACAACAAACGGACATCGAGTTTCTCTGGATCGGCAGGACCTTTGATTTCTCCCAGAATCTTTTTTTCATCCTGGAATTGGTTACCAACACTATACGTGTGATAAAATCAATTCCAGGGACGGAAGCCGTACGTTACTTCTTTTTGCTCTTTTCATTTTAAATTGAGGGTAATTTCCCAAATCACATTTAGGACAGGTTGTAATTTAATTAACACTACGAGTTATTGTGTATTACCTGCAATCTATTAATAAGTTTAAAGATCACTGGGAAACTATGTTATCAAAGGTCATTCAAACCAATAAAAATAGGGTCAACTCTTTGTTAATATACAGGTGCCTATTCTTCATTTCAATACAAACTTATCGTTTGAAATATGAAGAAATTTGAAACATTGGGCTGTTTTTTGGTGCACAAGCTTTGGACAAATCTAGATAGCACCATAATTTGGAAATGGACACCCGTCGCGCGGTGTTAGAAAAGTTGATCAGCACAGTTAGACACATGCCGACAGACACACACCATTTGAATTGACTGAGTTTAAGGGGATGGGGTGGATTTTCATCATTTTTCTTTATTGATCAAGTGAATAAGCAGAAGAATAACAAATATACAAATGAGCTACGCCAAAAGATAGAATTTGAAGCACCATAGCTATTTCTTCTTTTAAAGAATAAAATGTTACTACATGTTTGTTTGTTTGTTTTTTTTTTTTTTTTTTAGGGGGGGGGGGTATGAACAAGGTCATTTGTTTCGGAAATAATTTTAACCCATATTATAGTATGATAATACAGTCATGTAACACATACTATAATTTATTTCCAAAACAAGTGCCTGGGGGGGGGTGTTCAGGGATATTTTTAATTAAACCTGGAAGTAATTATGTTCCCCAAACGAAGTTGGGGAACATATTGTTTTTACTCTGTTTCTTATTATTATTATTATTTTTCCTGGGAAAATTTTGTCCACGAGTGATCTTGTAAACTACACATCCGACTAAGGTAAAATGTTTTTAGGGTTAGTAGACATGTTATGTAGATTTGCCGAACGAAGGTCATTTTGCGCGCACGTGCTTGCAAGAGCGCGCACGTGCAACACGTGAAATGACCAATATAATGGATATTGCTGTAACTTTTCTTTTTTTTGATGATTTTTTTTGAAACTCAAATGTAAGAATGCATTAGTAGTATAGACAAGATGGCATGGTCAAAATAGCAAGATCTCACGCGCATGCACGTGCGCTTCGCTCTGATTGGTTGAAATTAAAGTCTCAATATCTTTCTTGTTTCTTTTCATAATCTTTTGAAATTTTGAACATAGTCCTACATTATGAAGATCTACAGCATGATATATAAAAATTATCATGAAAGCATGCGCATGTGCGCGTGCTGCAATCTGATTGGCTGAAACTTTAAATGGCTATATCTCCTTTGTTTATCGACGAAATGCTTTGAAATTTAAAACATAGTCATGCATTAGGATATCCTAAAATATGATATAGAAAAATTTTCATGAAATCACGCGCATGCACGTGTGCTGCAATCTGATTGGTTGAAACTTTAAATGGCTATATCTACTTTGTTTTTTGACGAAATGTTTGGAATTTTTAAATATAGTCATTCATTAAGATATCCTTCAATACGATAAAGATAAAAATTCATAAATTCACGCGCATACGTGTGTGCTGCAATCTGATTGGCTGAAACTTCAAATGGCTATAACTCCCTTGTTTTTCAACCAAACAAGATGGGATTTAGAACATTGATAAATATAAGGGACTTCTACAAGAATGTGTTGTCATCATGCATGTGCTTGCACGTACGTGCACATGAAATGAGTAAAATTAAAAATACACTCGAATGAGTGTATTTTTTAATACTTTTGGATTAAATGATTTGATATTAAGTATATTAAAATATATAGATAGTGTAGACAAGAATATGGTTCTTACGCACATGCAATGCTTAAATATAAATATATTTTGTATTCTTTTGGGAAGACCTTGATTAAGTCTTAATTCCATAAAGTATTTCTTGTTTAATAGAGATTACAGGGAATATGGCACCAAAAGGGAGTTGGGGAGCGTTTGGGGAACATCTGTAACGGTCCCCGTTACAATTAGCACTAGTTTCAATATATTATGAATGAATGAATTTTGAAAAAAAAAAAACGTACGTTAAACTTAACTTTTTGGGGGGGGGGGGGTAGGGGTGTTTTGTTAAGTATATAAATAGAGTATTTTTTTAAAAGTCGGATATACATTTAACAACAAAAAAATGTCAGCATCATTTTTTTCTTTCACCGACTGTTTTCTCGTTTCTCTCTTTCTGTTTTTGTCTGGTAGACAGACTACTCGGCCCAACGACACCTCGGCCCGTGCTGGTTGACACCTCGGCCCTGACAGGTCGGCTCAAAATCATTGACACCTCGGCCCATACAGAAGACTGCTCGGCCCGTTAGGAATAAAATTGAATTAAGTTTGTTTAAATTAGTTTAATTTTTTTGGGTATTTTCTATGCCACGGTAATATAAATGTGTACTATGTACATTTAATCACTATTCGTATACTATAAATATACGATAATTTCAATATTTCAGTATTTTCTAACACACCACAGCACAACATCAAATTACAATCCGTTGATTGGGAGGTACATGTAATAGGTCTACACAGCAGTTTATGCCAGTTTATGCAAGATTTATTGATTTGTTTTGACGAAGTTGGGGAACATATTGTTTTTACTCTGTTTCTTATTAAGGTCTTCCGTCTTCACGGAAGCCTTTCTAGTGATTCTATTGTTTCTTCTTATTATTATTCTTTTTTCTTCTGACCAAATTTTGTGCAGGCGATTTCTCGTAAACTATTCGGTAGATTTCAATGAAATTTTCAGGAATTATAGGTCATTATATGAATTTTATATAAAATTCCGTTCTTTGGAATATTCGGTTCCAGTGCCAAGTTATGGGCAATTTCCTGATTTTAAAATGCAATTTTGTCTTCGAATGTTCTCGAAAACGGCTCAAGATATTAACTGGAGACTTGTTAGAGATGATAGACCATGAGTTATAAATATGCAATTTTGACTTCGTTTGCGTCGTCAGTACTTCCGGTCGCTACAGGAAGCGAATTAAAAATATGCATTTTTTCCAACTTTTTTGTTTTTCAATATTTTTCTTTGATATAATTAACATTTAAGGAGACCCTACTGGAAAGGCCTAATATATAATTTATTTTAGAATTGATCAATCCACACACTTGATATTCGCATTTGAAAATCTGAAGTGGGTCAAATGGCGGCTGTCTCAGTAAACTCCGCCATTAGGCAAGTCGGGTCTAGAAGGTCAGCCGAGCGTTTGGATGAAAGAAACTTCTACCATAAAGATCAATGACATGTAAAGGATTCATTGGATTGTCACGTTGCAATTACAGTGCATTTCTGTTTCAGATTATAGTTTTAATCCGAGGTTTCCTCAAAAGTCTATTAGAATTGCTTCTGTCTGAATATTTTTGTAATAAATGCAAGTTATTGAACATAAAAAGTATCTGATTCCTTGACCGTTGGAGATTTTTTTCAGCGAAACATTCAAGTCTTTTCATGAATCTCTAACTAATCGAAAGAGTCCACTTTGGGGTAAACAGGATACAAAATTCGTGGAAAATTTTTACCGAATTCACTGCTTTAATGTTACTTTGCTGTATACGATATTATATTTGTACAATGTGATAATTATACTTTCTAAAGCTCGAAATTCTGGTGTTAAGAACATATATTTCTAAATTTTATTGAAGCTATCACATCCATTCAATAGATCAAACATTTCAAAGGAATAGCTTTAAGAACTACTCATGATGTTTGGTGCGAAAAAATGTATCGTGACCCGACTTATTTAGTAGACAAATGACAACAGAAGTGCAGTAATAGATAGCATTGGCATGCCTGTATATGGAGTTGCATGGAATAGAAAGTTGAATACATATCGAATAAAAGAAAGTAAACAGTATCATTTGTTCATCAGTGATAGATTATCTCTCCTAAAAAATACTCTTAAAATCAAGTAACAAATTCCGATGTGATATTCTTGGGCAAAGTTTTGCAAGCTAGCTCTCATTTTACAATTCCACACTGAATTTGAAAAAAATGTAATTTATGTTAGAATCAAAAAAAGCAATCTCGCGATATCGAATTTTAAATTTGAAGCGGGTTTCCGAAGGTGTCATGGGTATCAGGTTTTCACGCCGGCCACCCAGGTTCAATCCCCCTTATGTCCGATTTTTTAAAATCACTTTTTCAGTTTGATTTAACGGGTTTTTTTCAGAATCGGACGGAAGACCTCTCGTTGCTCGCAACGAGTTTCGTTTCTAGTTAAGGTCTTCCGTTTCCAACGGAAGACCTTTTTGTTTTCGTTCGGTTTCTTTTTCCCTTTTATTATTCCAACCGATTTTGTGCACGCGAGTTCTCAGAAATGACTCGTCCAATTTTCATGAAACTTTCAGATCTGGTAGCTATTGATCCGAACCTTATTGGAAATTTTTTTGATTGATGACGTCACTTCTTATCTCGAGATATTAAGGATTTCTGATTTTTCAGAGGGTCTGCTTGTCCTGAGAACTCCTCCTAAACTACTTAAAATATTGAGTCAAGATTTTCAGTGAAGTAAGAGAAAGGTTTGCAGATGTGCAAATGGGTGTTTAAAATTTTCTGGCGCAAAAGGCGCTGGAGCTCTGTGGGACCCGAAAAAATGTCTCAGACACATCTCACAAAATTTGACATCTTTGTTTCATATCTTCTTATCTGTTCATAATTTATTAAAACATATATTGAAGAAAATTTGTGCAAAATCATAAAAGCTTTCATATGATATCAAGAAAAAGGGTCTGACTCCTCAAATTAGGGGCTCAGAGGGGCCAGAAGTCTTTCATCTTTAACTCTTAAATGATCAATATTTTGTGATACATTACAGAAACAAAGATATTTATCTGAACGAGTTGCAACAATATATTATAATAGAATAATGTTCTAAACAATATGCATACTTTGAATTTTTGTAAAACGACCCCATTAAGGACTTGTAGGGGTGGCCCCTAAATATTTCAATTCAGCTTATCTCAATAACGAAAAGAAATCTCTGAATAGATGTTGAACAAAATGTCTTTGAAATTACAAGACCTTTCATTTGATATCAAGAAAAAGGGGCTGACTCCTCAAATTAGGGGCTCAGAGGGGCCAGAAGTCTTTCATCTTTAACTCTTTAATGATCAATATTTTGTGATACATTACAGAAGCAAAGATATTTATCTGAACGAGTTGCAACAATATATTATAAATATATTATAAAGTTTTGATATTATAAATATATTATAAAGTTTTGATCATATAGTACGTAAGTAGGGGCCACAAGGGGCCAGAATGCTAAATCTTTGACGCTTCATATCTCAAAAAGGGGGACAATTTAAATAAGCAATATTGAACAAAAAATAGTCAGAATAATGTCTTAACAATATGCATACTTTGAATTTTTGTAAAATGGCCCCATTAAGGACTTTAGGGGTGGCCCCTAAATATTTCAATTCAGCATATCTTAACAACGAAAAGAAATCTCTGAATAGGTGTTGAACAAAAAGTCTTTGAAATCACAAGACGTTTTACTTGATATCAGGAGAAAGGGACTGTCTCCTCAAATAAGGCGCTCAAAGGAGCCAATGGTCTTTCATTTTTAAATCTTTCATAATCAATTAAATATCAAAGATTTTCATCTTAACGATTTACAACAACGTTTTACAAAATTTTGATCATGTGTTGCGTAATAAAGGGTTACAAGGAGCCAAAATGCTAAATATTTTATGCTTTATATCTTGAAAAGGGGAAGTGTTTAAAGTAGCCATATTGAAAAAAAAGGTCGATATATTGTATTATAAATCATAAAATACAGATTAAATGAAGGAAAACATATGTCATTCTCTTTTTACGAGTATCTCATTATTATTATTTTTTTTCTTCTTCTTCTTCCTGGAACTTTTTTGTCCGGGAATGATCTTGTAAACTGTTCGTCCGATGTAGGTAAAACCTTTTTAGGGTTAGTAGACATGTTATGTAGATTTGCGGAATCAAGGTCATTTTGGAGCCGAGGTGTCAATGGGCCGAGGTATCGTTGGGCCGAGGTGTCGTTGGGCCGAGCAGTCTGACATTCTTTTGTCTATATATTATTTTCATGTTAGAATTGATCTAGGACTAAGGTGTAGTTTCCAAATAATTCAATTCAATTCAATTCTTTATTAGCACTAAAGCACATATTTATATACAGGAATGTGTTGTTAGCCATATATTATAAAATATTAAACTATTGTAAGCTTGTTTCTAATAGATCACTCAGTTGACCAAGATGTTTTCGCGTTCTCTTCGAATAAATCGGGTTAGGTGATACAGCTGTAATAACGTCGGAATCGGTATCCAATTTAGTCGCATGCGTATCGGATGGAGAAGGCTGTCAGACGAGCGTCAACTTTACTAAAACACATTGTAACTCGTCACTCACTGCAGATGACGTCCAGAGATTTTACTGCTGGGATTATTGGTAAGCAACAGAGTTGATTCTGAGAATTATTTTCTGCCTTTATGACGCAAGTAGCATCTGTCAGGGGAGGTTGTGTAACAAAAATTTTTGACATGTTGAACAGGTCAAGCACAATATACCCTTTTCTTATGACATATTTTGCTTAAGAGTTATTCCCTTTAGCCGCCATCTTGTAGGGCAAAGTAGTGAATTTACCTCTTTAAACATGCATGCAAGATAGAAATGGGGGAAAATATTTACAATCTTAAAATTATGAATTAATAGAGGCTTTGACAAACATATAAGGAAAATAGTGTTATCTTTACCTTTGTAACGAGTATAACAAATTGAACTTGGTTGAATAACGAAGGGATCTGGATATGTTGCCCTACAATATGGCGGCTAAAGGGAATAACTCCTAGACAAAATATAATGCCATAGGAAACGGGTCTTAGCTATATATAGCTTGAATTACCCATTTCGTATTAAGCTACTGAGGATAGTTTGATTAAGGTACGTTTGTGTGTTGTTCTCAAAAATGTTTTTCGGTAGATATAGACAAAAAGTAACACGTGTGTTGAAGTGTTTCATGTTTGTTGACATCTATGCAATGAGACTTATTTTAGATTAAAAAAAATCTTTACTGCAGGCAATTACTTTTGGGTAGGTAATAGAGATGGCTCCAAGATTATACTATGAATTAGATAGTAAAATTTCATTCAATTCATAATGCATCTTATAGTTGCTTAATGTATTCTTGAACAGGTTGGGAACAATCGCCCAAATGGGATATAATAGTCCGTTTGGGATATAATATCCCGAATGGGCAGCTATAAATTTACAGTGCAAAAATTGAAAATTTTTATTTTGGTTATAAATATCATAAATCCGCATCAGGCCACTTAAAATGGAATAACTTTTGGTTGACATGTTTTCCTGTATATCATTTGTTTAGGAGATCGATCCCTCAAAGTTCCTTAACTTCTTGGGGATCAATCTAACAAACGGTAGGGTTGCTGAAAAACTTGCTTACCAAAAGCTATTCCTTTTAAAGTATTTTGATGCGGATTTTTGATATTTATTGCCAAAATAAAAATTTCCAATTTTTGCACTGTAAATTTATAGCCCATTCGGGATATTATATCCCAAACGGACTATTATATCCCATTTGGGCGATTGGTCCCAACCTGTTGAAAATCAAATCACTCCAATCTGCAGAGTTGTGATTTGTTCCTCTCTCAGACACCTCTGCAGTATTGAGCTTGCATCAGGATTTTTACCAACTTCTAGTAAAAATGTGATATTCCCAAGAATATTTCAAATAAAACTAATAGTTCTAAAATATGCAAAGTCTGAAAGACAAGTCTTAAATATTGAAATTCCAAATAATGCTGTATACAGTTATTTTTGCTGTATGTTACTTTCCCCCTTTCACACTGGTAAAAAAAATTTGCTTTGGATATAATTAATTCTCCCAGTCACGGTTCTGTTAAACACATTACGCTGCATTCCTTAAATTCACCCACTTGTGTATAAGGAGAAAGAGGCAAAAGTAAAACAGGCTAAAATTTCCCTGTATACAGTAACAAAAATGTTGACTGTATTCTATAGTATTCACCTTTGATGAGCAGTTGTGGTCACTCTCAAAATTTTAAAGTCAGTTGTCTTTGATGTATCAACCCATTTACAGTTTGTAGGTTTTAAATCAGGAATGTTTTTTTACAGTGATCGGGGATGAAATTTTAAAGGGGCAGACAGCTGACACCAACTCACATTTCCTGTGCAAACATTTATTTACCCTCGGAGTCAAAGTCAAAAAGGTATCAAAGATAGAAGTATAATATGAGATAAAGACATTGTTAAGATGTGGAAATGTGTACAAAATGTTCAGATTCATTTTTCTGTGGGTTATTAACAGTACAGAATTTTGATTTTAATTTTTCTGGAAATGACAGAATAAAGAGTGCCTTTTTAAAAACACTTATAGATTTCTGTTATTGGTGATGATCTGGAAGTAATTGCAAAAGAAGTCTGTGAGTTTTCTTCGAGGTACACCCATGTGATCACCTCTGGTGGAATAGGCCCTACTCATGATGATCTCACATTTGAAGGTGCAGCTTTACATTTCATAATAACCTTACAAAATTAACGAAGAAGTTATAAACATTTAATTAAAATATTAGCTAGTGATAAAGAATTAAGTGTTGAAGAATGTAATAAAAGTTTACCTCGCTTTGATTGTTGACCATATTTTCTTTTTCTTTGCTAACATGGGATTTTTTTCACCTGTAGGTGTGGCTAAGGCCTTTAATGATGTTGTCTCCCCTCACCCTGACATTGTGGAGCTCTGTAGGCAGTTCTGGGGGGCTGAAGATCTTTCCTCACCAAAGATGAAACTGGCCATGGTAATTCTAATACATACTTAACACGCTTAATATGTTTGATACATTGTACAGTAAATCACTATAATCATGATAATATATTTTTATATTGTATAAACACTTATTGTCTTGGGGTTTTAATTTTTTTTTGGTTTAAACACCCAATTTTATGTTAATGCCCCCAAAATCTACCTGATTCAAGATCAATAATTTACCGCCTGTCAATCATTAAAAAAACAATAGCTTCCGATTTGATTGACAGGCCAGCTACCCGTGCTACCTGATAGTCTGAGTTTGTGTGTTTTGAAAACGATTGCTTGGACATGCGTCAAACACTTTCATGTACCCGCCTTGTATACACGGGGGTATTGTATTTTTAGGCAAGATGTCGTCCAAGATATCTGCTGTAATATTAGACCGTCCGTGCACAGAAACGCTACTTGCCGATTAAAATTATAACAAATCGGAATATAATAAATAAGAAAAGATGTTTAGCACAAACGGCATGGATAAAAAATTACTTTATCCCATGTTTTATCTTTGTATATATATGAATGCAATCTACACTATGTTCAATATTGTTGTAAAGTTCTGAAATGTCAGAAACATAAGTTTCAAGATTGTAACTTTTAGGAATTTCCTAACGTCTGTCAGTACCCAGTATTCGAAATTAAAAAGTGAATATAAAGACAAAGATCAATGCTTAAAAGTATAAAAGAAATCTTGCAAACAATAAAAAAATATAACAACGAACACCCGGAAATGGTGAATATTTTCGACACTTTAACGAGGCTGGGGTGTGGCAGCCATTTTTAGACTATTTTTATCTCCTTTAAAAGAAGAGCTCCATATAAAGATATAAAAAATGATCAAATTTTAAAACTAAAATATATGAATTTTTTCTATGCCAAATGATAGTTGACAGCTTAAGATACTGTATGTAAAAAAATAAGTTAAATCTGGTGGTTAATTTTTGATTAATTTGTTGACCCCCCAGCCTCCTTAATAGTGTTGGTCAGAATGCAAGCAATATTCCTATCGCGCGGTACATTGTAAATGTTCACATGACAGATAGGCCCATGAATGGAATTTTTTTTTTTTTTTTTTTTTATTTTGATATTCACACACAATTAAAAAAGATATGTTTACTTTGTAGTTTTACTCTGTGTTCTTCTTCTTTAATTTAACAATTTTTTTTTTAAAATGTAAAAACGACATTTCTTTATAATTTTTTTTCTTCAATAGATATCGCTGAAAGTATCTATAAATAAATTTCATATTGAAATATTTCGATTATATCAAGTGGTTTCAATCAAATTAAGACATGAAACATGGAATGTTGACCCTGATCACCAAACACCGACTTCCTGTGTACTACTACGTGTATATAGATTTTTGACATCTTGAGTATTGGGGGTCTCCATGCAGGTAAATAACACCCCCTGTTACTTGGACCACTCCCCCTCCTCAGGTAACCGTACGGTAAAAAAATTGGGTCTTTAAAGAAAAAATGCTGTTATGATCAAAAGGATTTGATTTCATGGTTGAAGAAGAAAAAAGATACCACTGTAACCATACTAGTACTTTATGTAGTACATGTATAACATTTTGTGCTGACATGAATTCAGGGATTCCTTTGAACCTAGAAAATACATTGAAACTTGAAACCCCACTAAAATAAATAATTTCACAGTAATAAGGAAGTGCCTTATAATTATTATAGTTAAAAAGCATATGGATTTTTGAAGAAAAAAATTTCTTTCCATATGCAATGCTCTATATACAAGTTCAGTGAGTTATTATTGTAAAATTCCCAATTAATTTTTGACAGTTTGTCAACAAGATCAATGTGTTAATTATAGCAATGCAACTCACAGGAAGAATTAAATGTGAATATTAAATTTGACTTTTGAATAACTGGACTTCAAATGTTTTTGTGGAAGTTTTTATGATATCAATCTTGTGTCCTTAATGTACTGTAAATCACGTTTTATTCGCGAGAACTTAATTTTCGCGTAATTACGCGAGACAATGAGCTTGCGAAAATTTCATTCTCGCGTTTAAAAGTATTCCTTACGATTATATAGAGGAAAAACAACAATTCATGAAAAGTATGTCTCGCTAATAAAGAGTCAATTACTATCTCGCGAAAATAAGGTGTCGCAAAAATTTAGTGATCTACAGTATACTTTGAAATTATAGTGGGTCCTTGCTTCATTTTTTGTTTTCTAAAAACACTTTCCAGTACATGTTTTCCTCATCCTTTGAATGTACTAGGACTGCACAATAATTTTGATCTTAGGTAAACTGCAATTTGTTGACAATAACTATCATATTGTAATACATTTATATTCTAGCAAAATGCTCAAGTTTGGGATTTCCTAAGTAAATACAAAGTTTTGGATATCAGAAACATTTTCAATCATATACCACACAGTAAACTATGGTAGCTGTTGCATGGTTGCATTTTGATGTAAACTGTTGTGAAATCATCAAGAACTTTTTAGTTCACCTGAGTTGAAAGCTCGAGTGAGCTTTTCTAATCACCAATTGTCTGTCGTCCATCCATCAGTCTAGCTGTTTGCATGTCTGTAAACTTTTCACATTTTCAATTTCTTCGTAAGAACCACTTGGCAAATTTTAACCACATTTGGTACAAAACATCCTTCAGTGAAGGGGGAGTTTAAATTGTTAAAATGAAAGGCCAAGTCCCCTTGCAAGAAAACACAAAAAAGGTTGGGGTCATTCTCTAGAAACACTGGGCCAGAAAAGCTGAAACTTAATATGTGGAAGCATCCTGGGGTAGTGTAGATTCTAAATTGTTAAAACCATGGTCCCCAGGGGTAGGGCAGGGCCACAATTGGGAATCCAAGATTTACAGTGAAATACAAATGTATATAGGAAAAAATCTTCTTCTCAAGAACCACTGGGCAAGAAAAGCTGAAACTTATGTGGAAGCATCCTGGGATAGTGTAGATTCTAAATTGTTAAAATCCTGTTTCCCAGGGGTAGGGCGGGACCAGAGTAGGGAATCCAATTTTTACATTGAAATATATAGGAGAAATCTTTAAAAATTTCAAGAACCACTGGGTCAGAAGAGCTGAAACTAATGTATAAGCAACCTGGGGTATTGTAGATTCAAAATTGTCCAAATCACGCATGTCCCCTAGGGGAAGGAAGGGGTCACACTAGGTATTACAAGGGGGGAAATCTGGTAAAGAACAGCATGGCCAGAGTTACTAAGGTGAGCGATGTGGACCATGGGCCTCGTGTTTGTTCCAACATATCATAGTAGTTACATACACTCTGCTTATATAATTATGTAAGTGGAGATTTATAAAGCTCAGAAAAGGAAATTTTAATTTCTGTTAAAAATATTGCAATTCATATTGCATAAAGTTAATATATATATTGCAATATATTGCAACAAAAAGTTATCAGCCTTAGAATAATAACTCCTTTTATTTAATAAAATGAAGCAAAAACTGTATACTCAAATGAAAAAAAAAAACCTGTAACTGATACAAATACATATACATGATATCTAAGAAAAATTCCTATGATGGATTTTAAATTTTTTTTTTCCTTTCTTATTTCTTAAACATTTGATCTTAAATTTCCATAGTTAGTTGCCAATGTTTAAATGGTGTGTAAAATGAAAGGAAGTGATGTCAGCCTTAGGGGAAGTCTATGTATATAAGTCACAAAAAGACTTTGACGTGCATTCATTCAACAGGGCATGTGAAAAATTTGCATGGTTGAATCACCAGGATATAGAATTACAGATAAACTTTTCAGCAGATGATATTTCTGGTTTGTCATACTTATATTGACCTAGTGGTTTACCTGAATCATTTTTTCATCGCCACAGTAGCTGAAATGTGGCCATTTACTTTTTTCATTCTGTGTAAACAGGGAAGCTCTATAGACTTAGGTATCGTCAATTCAGCCAAAGGTTTGTAAAAAGTGTTTTTTCCTCTAGATTCCAAAGTCGGCCCGACTGGTGTATGGGGTTAACAAGAAGACCGGAGAGAAGAATAAGTTCCCTCTAGTGGTGGTCAATAATGTGTATATATTCCCCGGTGTCCCATCCATTATGGAGAGGAGTTTTATAGCTTTAGAGGTCAGTAATGCAGAAAACTATCTTAAAAATTTAAATAAATTTTAAATTTAAATAGTACCTTTAATTTATACATTTTTTTCAAGAAAAGATTTTTTTTTTAATTTTAAAAAGTTAATAAGTTTAGTTTTATAGCTTTAGAGGTAAGTTATGCAGAAAACAACTATTAAATTTATTTTTAGAATTATCTTTTAAACATATTTCCATGAAAAGCCTTTTTTTTAATTTTTAAAAAGTTAATAAGTATAATACTCATCTCTTTAGGGTATATTTTTTTTCACATTACATAAGGTTCTAAGCTATCCATTGTTCTTGCCTATCATTTTCTGTCCTCCTCATGGATGCTTTCATGGCTGATTTCCTTGATGCTTGATACATTTAAAATATTAAAACAACATTTACATGACAATGGGTTTCTAGATATTAAGCAGGATACTTGAGAAACTGCCTTGCAATCAAATTTTACATTAGGTGGAGTTATCTATAGCCCATTGCCAAGAAATATAATATAGCTTTTCAACTCTGTACAGCCTCTAATAAAGACACGACAAGCTCCTACCGTGAAAAAGGCCTGTAATTTTAGCAGCGTCCTTTATAATAATACCGTATAATCCCTATTAACCGCCCCGGGCGCTTAGAAAATTGCGGAAAGGGGGCGGTTATTTTGATATTCTTGCTAAAATTTTGAATGTCATATTTTAACTTCAAGAAATCTTTTTTTAAAAAAAACAAATAACAAAGAATCACTAAAAATTGTCTAACCTTCCTTTAAATTACAATAATTCACCCAAATTATGCTATATGACTCATTTTCCCACTTCGAAATTAGGGAATAGGCAAGGAGAACAAATTTTGTACTTGTATGTTTAACTTTCACTTTCAGAAATACATGATTAGGTCGTTCTAAAAATCTCTTACTTTCAAGAATATTTTATGTATGAGTTACCTAAAAACAAAGTTTCATTTTCACTTTCTTCATTATGGTGGACTTTTGATACGATTCTGGATGATTTTGATCACTGTAAAGGGGGCCCTTATTTCCTGACAATTAAAAAAGACCCAGGGGGGCGCTTATAGGGGTAGGGGCGGTTAATAGGGATTATACGGTAGTATATAGTTCATGGTCTGTGAACTTTCAGATTGAATAAAAAGTACAAACTTCAAGTCTACGTACACCCACAATGAATACTTTTTTTCCTGTGTTTTGTGTTTCTATACTTCTTTGGTTAAAGTCCATCCAGCAACCAACCAATTTTGAAAAAGTTAAATTGTTCAATAAGGGAGGGCATTACTTAATGCTGATTGAAATAAAGAGCAAAAAGAGGCAGTTATCTGAAATCTTTCTATCATACGCCCGTCTTAAGACGGGACGTATTATGTAATAGGCTTCGTGTCCGTCTGTCTGTCTGTTAGCTTTTTCGTTTCCGGCTCATAACTTTAATACTACTAGGCCTAGGATTATCAAACTTTGTCATCTGATGCATCTTGGGTAGAAGGTGTGTCGCGCACAAAAAGTAGGTCGCTCTGACCTTTAATTAAGAAGCTATAGCCAAATATGGAAAAATCCTTTCCGGCCCATAACTAGAAAACCATAAGACTTACAATCATCAAACTTGGCCAGTTTATGCATATTAGGTAGAGGTTGTGTCGCGATCTATTTCAAGGTCACTGTGACCTTTAATTTAAGTGAATTTTTAAAAAAAAATGTGTCTTTTTACTATTCATTTACACATCCCAAATAACGTAAGAGTATTGCACTGTTCTTGTTAAAAAAGTGTTAAATCAAGAAAATACTTATTTTTTTCAAGCATATACTTGACAGCAATCTATAACAAATATAATGTTTGTCAGAGAAATCCTACCTCTCCCATGAGTATTATTATCAAGCACTGGTCAAGAAGAATTTTGATAACAGAAAATAGCATGTCAAATTAGAGAGAAATTAATGGGTTTTGAGTGCGAGGAGCTAACTGACAGAGCATTGGTGTTATCTATATCCCTTGAGTATTGGGCAAATAGGTAAGCCTGTTTGATTAAAAATAGCTCTTGTTGACTAGCTTAAGTTTTAAAATGAATTTGATGAAAAGTAATTAAAACTAATTTCATATTGCATAATAGACTAATCTGATATTATGTAATATTATTAATTTAAAAACTAATTTTATGGGGTGGGGTGGAATTAGCATGTCCATATGAATTACATATTAAAACCTGTCGGACATTAAATCTCAACCAAAAAAAAAATCTTTGAGTATTTTATATGTTTTTTAAAAAAAATTATAGTAGATAGTGCAGACCCATTCATCTCTTGGTAGTAATGAGTAGACAAGCATCCAGTTAAAGATTAATTAATGAGTTCAATGTATGAAGACTAGCTGTCTCAGTCGCTCTGATTAAGCAGTCTTATCTGTACCCTTTGGGGATTAGACAGAAGAACTGCTGGTCAGTTTATAACATATGTCATTTGATGGCCAGCCTTTTCTTTTCAAAATTAATTTGGTATAGATTAAGTTTTTAAGACTAATTTGATGACGGGCATTTGACAAGGTCTAACACAACCAGCACAGAAATCTATCGGTGATGTAATATTTATTATAATTGATGCCTACATCACAGGGGATGGATAAATATTTTAAGGAATGGAAAAATCATTGAAATCTTAGAATCAAGGTTGATGTGATTTTCTTGCACCTAAACTGTTCAAGAAAATTGTAATTTTTTGACGGGCGTATCATGCTGTGGCGTGGCACTTCATTTTATATATACAAACACATGCATTGTGTAGTACCTCTGTTATCACTTGATTTTGACAAGGCTGATGCTTTTTGGGAGTTGAACTATGTTCAATCTCCCATGGTCGCCACGCGATTTCTAGCGCAGTAATTTTACAATGAATAATATAGCGGCTGTCGTGGTGCTTCTGTGTCGGCCAATTTACTCCCCTGTGATATTCAATATAAACTCGCACTATTCTATATAAACTTGCAGAAACATCCGCAATAGAAATAGTCCATCTCATTTTTCTGAATTAATCTTAATTTTCATAAATGATTTGAAAGTAAATTAAATTGAATTTTATTTAACTCAACTTGAATAGCATATTTTTGTCATATTTCCTAGAAATGACTCATAAATTTGATTTCCGGATTAAAAAATAGTCCCAGTTTTCTGTCATTTATCAATTGACAATCCTCGGCCGACTCCACTACGCCCCAGTGCTGTTAAGAGTTTATTCTGAATAGTAAACTTTTTGATACTTAAGTTTAGTTCATTCTCTCCTTTATATACCAAGTGGTTCAATGGCCATGTCATTTAAAGGAATGACAAGATTTAGGAAAATCTTTGGAAAGGGTCGGAATTATTCAAAATAGAGCTTTTGTCTGCTGTCAGAGTAAGAAGCTGTGAAATACATGTAATGTCAAAAGGAACGCTAAGGTTTTACACAACTTCTTTCAATTTGTTTCAGCAATGAAGAGACAGAACAACGTTTCGTTTAAAAAAATAGTACAGAAATAAAATCACGATCAGACATTTTTTGTTCTGACAAGTAAAAATGATCTGTTAGACTGGAAAAAGTTTTGTCAGACCAGATACATGCAACTCATTTTTTTTTTTACGTTGGTAAAGGGAAATAATACGTCCCGTCTTAAGACGGGTGTATAAAAATAATAGCATTTAAATGCTATTCAAGTTTTATGATATTCGATATCACGATTTCAAATGACATTAATTTTTAATTTCATGAATTTATCAGCATTTAGTTGGTCACGTGTTCAACACTAGAACTGAACTAGAAAAATGTGCGTGGCTTTAATTAATAATTAAGAGCCATTCTCTGTAATGATTTGAAATTTTATATAGGAGCTGTGGCACGCATAGTCTCAAAATTTCTCCAAACTCTCTATAATAAAAGTCATTGACACCCTAAACTGAAATCAGGCAAAAATTGGTTGCTATGTTTTATAGTTACCATGGCAACATGTCTTAAAGTTCGAAAAATGGCATTTTTTAAACATGTTTAGAGCCCCATAGATAACATTTGCGACAAAGCAAACAATTGGCAATGATTGTTTCCAAAAGTTGAAGGTCAGATGTCTCAAATGCATGATAAACATCTTTGGTAAATCAACTATTACATACGTTACTATGGTAACAAAGTATTCAAAAGTAAAAAAAATATTCATTTAATTTTATAAAGTCATACACGTAAAAATAAAAAGCAATTATAGGATGAATTGTGACCAAATAATAGAAAAAGGAGCCTTGAATCACATACCAAGAACAAAATATGATATTTTATTTTGGTTGGCAATGGTTGCCAAGGTTATTATACCACAGAGAGTCGTCAAAGTAACACTTTGTATGTTTAAATCTGATCCTATCTTTTAAAAAAGCACATTTCCTCATAACTAATGATCAATTTTTAAAGATGTTGGTGTGCTCCTATTTTTCCCATTTGAAAAAATTCAGATTAGATTCTTTAAATAGAGCGTTGCTATGGAAATAAGCAGAAAATATATGCTTAAAAACCTGAAAAATATTTTCTTTCCTTGGATACGTACCCTTAAATGTAGATTCCCAAAACTTTTATGATTGATATTTATTAACAGCTAACCTGCCTTTTAATTTTGACTATCATCCAATCTCTAAGTGGATGCAAGAAGTTGGCACACAGGGTTTAATACTGATATAAAGTTCACAAAATCGAACATTTTCCCTTCTTGGTAACCATAGCAACAGTGTTGTTTTCTTCATCAAATTTTATCAACATATGATATTCAACTTCAGTTCTAACAGATAAGTACTATTCAAGCTGAGTCCTTTAATTTGTTTCTTGATTAAATGGCAACTTAATTCTTAATGCAGCGAAAAATAATTCACTTTTAAGCACTGGTACTTTGTTTCCATGGTAACACTGCAAAGTAGCAATTATACCCAATTTTTCTTATGGTTTTGGTGTTGCAAGGTCCTAAGGATGCATATTTGCCAGTCTTGAATTTTCA